ACACTGCGAATGGGCTACTATAGTTCTGGTAATGAAGTGTAGGATTAGTACAAAACACAACGGCGGCGGCGGCGGCGGTGACCCAAGTCATAGTGGTTGGCCCGTGATGAATGTTGAACGAAGCCAAAGCCGGCAGAACGAAGACAAGACGCGCCAGTCTCGAGTCAACACAAACTAGTGACAAGCACGTACTTAACTTTAGAGATAAAGACGACAGATCAAATCAAATCAAAATCAAAGCAAGATGAACCCCCATCAATAGCCATAACCCCCGAAAATTGCTTCCCATATTTCTCAATTAACTCGCATCAGCTCATTCATGCCTATCATGATGATATATGTCGCATGTGTTCAACTCTTCACCCAACTTGGAAACTAATCGTAGAAACCTTCGTCTACCTTCTCTTCTGCCATCCCACGCAGTAACCTGGGGCAGAAACACAGACTTTAATAGTACACTCGAAACAATTCATTCCAACGCAGGAGAGATAATAAAAACAAGCTTGATCAACTTGATTCGCTCGCCAGCCGCCCCATCCAGTTTCTGCAATGATGATTATGCGCGTAAAAAGACAAATTGCTATCATTCCCTTGGCCCCTTTTGTATATCGTACATTATTCCACTCCCCCCCACCCCCTTTTAGGGGGTTTCACGTTGTCCACTCCAGATCACCTTGAAACAGCCTCCCACCTGTAGTAGTTGCCTACATCCAGATAAGAATCTAGTCCTCATCGAAAATCTGATAAGTATTCTGCAGAATCGAGTCCACAACACGGACCTGCCATCCGGCGTCCGCAATATTACTACCAGTGCCCATGAGCGTAGGCCCGAAGACGATCGCCAAGTTCTGCGAGTTCATGCGGTTCATAGAGCTGTTCTCTATCACTCGGTGCAGGTGGATAGCGAGAGCCCGTAGCGTGGCATAATTAGGATCGGGCAGTCCATTGATAATAGCGTGTAAGCTATCCCTCCGTACGATTTCATCTTCGCTCTTTGCTGCCTCGACGAATGCAGAGTAATTCTCGGATGTCAGCAGGGGATCAGGCAGATCGCGGAGAAATTGCTTTAGCAGGCCGGCAACACTATTGACGTCATGGAAGAAGTTCTCTGGATTGCGAAAATCTAGGACATGTGACTCTTGATCTGTAGTAAATGTTAGCGGGGTTGTGGGACCAAGACAGGGGGTAAAGCAAGACGGACTACTATCGAACAGGTTTTTTAACTTGGTAACATGTGTCGCCGATCCCGATAGACGGTATATACCCTCAACCGCAAGACCGTATAGATCGACTGCTTGAATACACTGGTGGACGACCATGGGCACAGCAAGTTGGTCACGCTCATACAGACGCCCTAGGGAAATACCAAAGACTTGTTTGCCGCCTGACGCCTTGGGTGGTGATCCAGCTCGCGCTCCAAAGTCTTGCTGAGGTGGAGGGGCTCCATAATCACTGGGGCCGCCCGGAGGAGGAGATTGTGTATTAGGTTGCTGTGTCTGGAAGGAAAGTGCTCCCAGTTGTGGTGGTCCTGCTTGTTGACTGGCGCTCAAGGGACTGCTCACGTTGCCATTGAATCGAGATTGTTGGGGAGGAAGACCGTATGATGAGTTTCGCGCGTTATAACCTTGGGGTGACTGCTGAGTCTGTGGATTATTCAGCATGGCTCCATGGCTGTAACTTCTTTCGTGTCCTGATCCCGGGGTCCGTTGCGCCGCAGAGATGGAGGGAGGTATGAAATTTTGTGCTGGGCTGTTCTGACCCATACTATCCATGGTACCTTGTCTGCCTAGAGTTTGTGTTTGTAAAGGAGGCAGAGAAGAGTTCTGAGTTTGTTGCTGAGACGGTGGTCTTGCTCCTTGCTGGTGCATCTGTGTCATCTGATTCAACGACATATTTTGCACGGGGTTAAGGACCTAGCAGAAATTAGCGCTTGTAGTGTGATGAACATGATCAGAGCAACTTACCGGGTTACGCTCATATTTGACCTCAGAGGTCTTTGGTGACATCTTGCTGTAACAGCTGGTGACGTGGTCCTCAAGATCCTTCTGATTATCTATACCGTGAATGACTTCTTTCAGGCTGCGCGAGAATTGCCCAGGAGAGGTGGCATTCTTAAGCGGGCTAATGACCAGGCCATTGCTCAAGAGCAATTTTTCATTGAAGGATGCTGCTCATCCATCATCAGTTCAAGGCCTCAAAATGGGCAAGTCTCTCCACTTCAACTTACCGAATTTCTGCAATTGAACCGTAGTACCAGAATCACACTCTCGTATCGTATCTTTTAGCGCTTTGATGGCTTCGGGGCGCGTGTTAGACTCCATCGTCGCCTTCTCGGCTTGGTAGGTCTGGACTTTGCCCATATAGTCCGTATCAGCAGCTTGGGTTTTGCGCAAGAGATCCTCCTCTTGCTGCGCTGCAGACTTGGGTCCTTTGATGCCGAAAACTCGAGGGCCTTGTTTAGCCTCACCAGTCCTGACCCGGTCATAATCCTCAGCCAATGAATCATATTTCGTTTTAGACTTGCGCATTGCTGTCTCTAGGTCGGCCAACCGTTGTTCGGCTGCCAAACCAGTTTGTTTCCACCCCTTCCTGTGTTTTTCCGCAACGATAGCTACCTCGAGAAGGTCATCGTGCATCTGATGTAAGGATAACGCGAATTTGGTTCCATTCTCGGCCATGCGCTCGTGTATGGCAAGCATCTCTTCGTATGCCTTCGCAAATGTGCCCTGTCGGTGATCGGTGTGATGTATGCTGTCTTGTGTCTGTTTGCAGAGCTTTTTCAAGCCTCTTGCATGTTCTTCTTCTAAACTCGATCGTTTCTTTAGGAAAGAGGCGAACTCCTATACAAATTATGGGTTAGATAAAAGGGATATTTCAAGAGGTAATGGCGCTGACCTTTGCAGAAGCAATGCTCTGTTTTAGTCGGTTGAGCATGGTAGCTACACCTATCTATATTGAACGGTTAGCCAAGGTCGGACAGGCACCCAAATAAAATATACAGTCCTGCTCATACATCGGAGCCTAAGACATCCAGGGCTCTCTGGGACAGCTCGGTCTTGGGAAGGGCAGCGGGAGTGGTCGGGCTCGCATCTGGACCGGGACCAGCTCCGATACCAGATTCTGGCTCTTGGTCAATGGCGCCGTCTGGCCCTTGGCTGGGGATGACGCCGGGCGACATTACGGCGGCTGATTGTTCGTGGTCTGGATCTAAAGGCTCGGGCCTGTCGAGCGATGTCCGGCTAAAGTCTGCCATGGCACTGGCGGTCGGGGATCGGGTATATGCGCGCGGCTGTGTAGGTAGTTTCAGAGGAGCTGAGTTGGAGGGAAGATGTGGCCGATGGAGTGAAACGGTCAAGTGTATCGAGGATTGATGCGGTTGGGCTTTCAGGAGACGAGCTTCAGCTCCTTCGATGTAACAATGCAATTATAATTATATTTATAATTTACGTGGACTTCATGAAATAGGTAGGCCGTGGATGAAAGGATTCCATACGACACAGCACCGAGGGTTGAATGGCAAAGGGAGAATGTCGTCGCGACAATGGGCTAAGGTCGGTATGTCGGTATGTTGATGTGGCTGCAAGAGCTGCAACGTGAGGTACTCGCAGGGAGTGTACAGGCCAAGCGTTCCCAATTTTTTAAAGCACAGACAGACGTACGCATCCGTAATCCGATACGTTATGTAGTTGCATTGCCGCAAGGACACGCCACTTAACTGGGGTTTTTGCACCTTACTTTTACATGTAGGGGTGCTGCTGCACTCCACTATCTAGTAGCACACTCCCCGCATCTTCATCTTCTCTACTCCCTACTCCGTCTTTCACAATGATACACCCTTGCAATTCTTCTACTACGTACATACATGTACGCTCTGACATGTCCTTTCTTCTACATACTTACCTGGGCTCAACAACGTTTAATCCGCTCATTCTTCTAGTACAGTGACAGTGATGCAATATCGATATTCAGAGAACTGTGATTCATCAGACATGTCTGGTAAAATGAATATCCTGGTCACAGGTAGTGCGTTTCACTTTACAAGTCGAATGGTAGATGATGGCTTGTATTTATCTGTGGTCCGGCCTAGTATAAGGCTGTGCATGTTGTTCACTGTTGCTAGTATTGGGATGGAATAACAGCATGATGACCAGGTTGTGTCTTCTCTCCTCATACTCATCACTCCAGCAATTCCTATATCTAACCAAACCATAATATCACTACAATAATCTAGGATCAAACGAACCCTCTCACCCCTGCCTGCCACCTGCTTCATATGCAACCCAAAAAGGACCAACACAAACAATAATAGTATCGACTGATATAGGCCCCAGCGTCCAACTGCATCTCGGGAGTTAGATCCGAATCATCAGACCATGTGAAACCCCATCCGTCGCCATCGTCATACTCCGAGGGGGGGCAACCTTGCCTTCCCAAATCCTTGGGTATAAAAGAACAAACCGAGAAGACAAACCCTTGAAAGCCATGTTGTCTCAGCGACTTCGGTGACACACGACCCGTACAACCTAGCTTTGAATATCGACCCCTTGTTCGTGGCATGGCTGCCATCTCGGCCGTTGGACATGACTTTCGGCCTCTATCTTCTCGGTGTGTACCTAGCGATCTCTGGGTGTCACTTGCCGAAATGATACATTGAATACATGTCTGTTTATTGGAGTTATGATGTCCTAGTACTATTGTCCAATACATCATTTATGAGCACCCTAGGATAAATCCCTCGCTATTCGTACATGTATTCAATGTGCAAAACTTCTCTTGTTCTTAGTTGTTATTCAAATAGTATTTTAAGTATTAGTCAGCAGAAGATATGTAGTTGCAAACTTTGTTCTCTCAATATAACAATGATCAATCTGCGCCTAAAAAAACCCGGAACATGTCTATCAATCAATCACTTTGGGAACAATATAGAGGGTAAGTGATAAATAAAAAAGAATATTAGTCAACCACAATTGGTTTAGAACAGAAAACTTCAAAAAGTTGATCTCCGCATCGGGGAATCGAACCCCGAGCTTCACGGTACCTTTCAATGCCTTGTGAGCTTTTGAAAGCGTAATGGGTTAACCATTACCCCAATGCGGATTGGGTTGTAGTTGTTGAAAGGCGGTGCCGTATCTGTGCTCATATTACCTAGTTGGGAGTTTCCGGGGATCTGGCGGAACTATGGGGACCAGACAGGTATGGGAACGTATGGCCTAAGCGTCAATTAGGTAAGCAACTCTTCAACTTGATGCTCTAGGAGACGTAGAAAGACATTATGCTATCTGAAACGTGGACGTTTCTTTCAATAAGTCGTTATCAGTAAAGGGAATGGATTGCCTTATCAATGAATGGCCTTTGATAATTTTGAAAGTTCAACTGTTAAGCTAAACCGAGTGAAAACATTCAAGTTGTATATCACTGGCGGGGCCTATACAACACGTCATTTGGTGGCACTGGGAGTCATCAATATGTAAACGACAATCCAACGGCAGAAGAGGCTCACACCCATCTTTCAGAAGGCAATGTATCGTGTCTTATACAAGGCACAGGCAAAGTCTATACTCTTAGCGCCTCAGGTTTCCATTTCCAAGAACGTTTGTCATTGCCAAAGTGCAACACCACCTTATAACACCAAACCAAGCTTCATTCACACAATAAGACCAACAACCACAAACACCATGACTACCATCACGCTCAAGTCACAAGCTACGAGTATTTCGCTACCAGAAGACTTTTCTGTCAATGTCTCGCTGCCAGAGGGGTTCTCAGAAAAGCAACTGCTCTCATTCCAGCCATTTAAAGTAAGTTGCTCTTTCATATACACTCCATACCCATCCAAGCAAACCATGCAACAACACAAACAGAATAAACCTCAATCAAGAAATAACATGACAAATCCCAGAATTGGCTCGAAACTCTCACAAAATCCCTAACCCTCCAATCACAAAACCCCTCTCACCCCTTCCACTCAGACCCTTACGCCCTCCGCTCCATCACAATCCAAAGTTATGATCTTTTCGGCTCCTCCAAAATCGGCTTCCTCAAGCTTTCCGCCGAGGTGACCAACAGCTTTGGGGAATCTCTTCCAGGCGCTGTCTTCTTACGTGGTCCCAGCGTCGGGATGCTCGTTATGCTCATCCCCGATGACTTACCACCGTCCTCCGGGCAAGGCGTAGAGGAAGAGCGCTACGTCATCCTCACAATCCAACCCCGAGTCCCAGCCGGCAGCCTCGCCTTCGCCGAGCTACCCGCTGGCATGATCGGCGGCGATGGCGGTTCATTTGCCGGCACCGCGGCGCGCGAGATCAAAGAGGAGCTGGGGATCGAGATCCCGGCTTCGGAACTGATCTCTCTAAGCGAACTCGCAGCTGCACCACCTGTCTTGTCGCCCTCAGCAATGCCTTCCAGCGGCAACAGTAACGGAGACGGATCCGGGGAAGTAAAGTACCTCCCCCAGGCGATGTACCCCTCAGCGGGCGGCTGCGACGAGTACATCCCCATCTATATGCACGAGCGGCGTGTCCCTCGGTCGACGCTGAAGGAGTGGACGGGCAAGTTGACAGGATTACGGAACGAAGGCGAGAAAATCACGCTCAAGCTCGTGCCGATGAGGGATCTATGGCGCGAGGGACGGCGGGATGCGAAGGCTCTGGCGGCGCTGGCGCTGTGGGAGGGGCTGAAGAGGGAGGGGAGGCTTTTATGATGGGTTTCTGGCAAACAGGATGAGAATTGGTTGGTATGAGTGTAGGGTTTCTACCGAGGCTGTCAGATCATTAAGGGGTAACGAGAACCGTCGGAATGGGATACGTGCCTGGCATATATAGGTACACTTGTACAAGTATGAATAGGAAGAAGCGCAATTTCGATACCTCGTGTACTTTCAACTCCTGGCACATGGGAGAAGCACATAATCAACAGTTATTTTAGCCGTTTCGATGACGATTGTTTCTGAGGGCTGCGCCTAGAATCACCTCAATAAGTTCGCTTGAAAGCTCAATACAAAGAGAGAAGAAAACAAAAAGGAATCCCAAAAAGAAGCGCTCAAGATTTAAGCCCTCAGTGGTGGCAATGTTGCTAGGGTTGCTATCAAGGACTCCTCATGGCTGCTATGAGTAGGATAGCTTAAGTTCAAATAAAATTTTTTCAATATCCTCACGTGTAGCTTTGCTATTAGACTCTTATAAATAATAATCTTATCGGCGTGGTGATTAACGCTCGAGTATTCGAGGAATTCGGATAATTTATTCGGATGTCGATTAAGCACACCACGGTTATCAGTGGCACGCCGATACCAAACTATAGCTGTCCTTCTTCGAGGGCGGATAATCGCTGTGTTCACAGACGCTTGAACCGCGAGTTCACACTCAATCGGTCTGCGTGACGATAAACACTGTATACACCGCGTGATATGTCTTGCTTGACGTCTCGGTAAGTAACAATGGCTATGATCGGCCTCAGATCGTCTCATGTCCACATGTCCACGCCCTCTGCCATGGATATAAGGTCGCCCATCTCGCCGCAGACTTGCTAATATCTCCTCTCGTTCCAACGCCACTCATCTCTCCTAAGTCCGGCTCTACCTTCCGCTTCTGCGCTTCCTGGTCTCAGTGCGAGAAAAATTCATTCCAGTGCGCCAGTGACACAAAATTCGGAAGAGCCTTGTCTGGTTGTCCTTGGCCGAGATCTGCAACGACTAGGGAAACTCATCTCCATCTCATATTTACCTCCCCCCCCCACCCTTTGTCATGTATATAAGATCACTAATCTCGTCGCGGTCTTGCTGATTTATCCTCTCTCGGTCCAGAGCTGCTACCACCATCGAGACGGATACCATGTCTTGCTTCTGCGCTTTTGGGTCTCGTCCTAGAAACACCCGTTCCGATGTGATCTGTGACTTGAGATCCGAAAAAGGAGAGGGAGGAAGCATGTGCGACGATCTCGTTTGTCTAGTTGACCTACCAGGGCTAAGGGAAACCCCCTTTCCGTCTCATATCCGCCTCTCCTGCCGCCTATATAAGATCACACAGTCCCACCGCGACTTGCTGGTTTCTCCCTCTCTCTTCTGCCGCCGCTGGGTCTCGGCTCTGGGAACGCTCGTTTCTAATGTACTTGAGTGATGACAAAGTCTGCCTGGGTTACAGAAATCTCAGATTTGTCTCATACCTGCCCGCTCTGTGACTTCTGCCATGTATAACTCATCTCACCGCAGACTGCCTGATTTCTTCACTCCCATTTCAGAGCCACTGCGTCCTTGTACTAGATTGACTTGCCCTTTCGCTTCTGCCACTTGTATATCTCTTTCTGAGAACACTCGTCCTACTGCAGTCGGTTAGTCGATGACTCAAGATACGGAGGCGGGGATGACCAGAGATAGCCAGAAAATGGTATGTGCCAGGAGACGCCCTGAAAGGCTCGGATGCAGCTCTCGATCTCCTGCTTGATATCATGACGTATAAAAGATCATCTGCGCCTCGCGCATGACCGAATAAACAGTGCTAGAGAGTATTGCAATTGGCAGCCATTAGGTAGAAGGCAGGAATGGCGATCCTTGGGTATTCATCTGAATAGCCTCAGTCTGGGTCTGCCAGGGGTGGAGTGACCTGAAATTTCCGCCTGATGCGTTTATCGCTTTGGTCTATCTAATAAGCTTCCTTACCAGTCCCACAGTATCGATGGCGTCTCCTATCGCACCACCGCTACATCCACTTTGTAGACTGGCTCATTTTTCTCGCTTCTGCGTTTCTACAACTCCGGCTTTAGGATCATTAGTCACTCATTTTGAAACTGTTCACCAGGGCTTTTAGATACCGAGGTGGTGAGATAGCGGCCAAAGCAGTTTCACTTGCTCGGGTGACATGGCTCAGTCCACAACCTCAGGAAACTCTAACATCGCACATCATCTCCGATAATTCACATAAGGGAAGCACAGCACTGATCGACGCAGGTGGATTGATCCGATCACTCCATCGAGACCAGTAACTCGGTAAGGATCCGAGGCTAAAATCATCCGTCGCACCCAGTCTCATGGTAGTCCGGGCGCCAAGATTCGGCGCGACTGGACTTGATCTCTTGCTGGAACGATAGCACACTGCCCATGAGGATTGCGATAGTAAGAACTGAAGCAAGGGCAGTATATTTTCAGAACCGATGTGGGGAGCATCCCTGCTGTGTCGAAAATCTTGGAATCTTTGTCCGAAGCTCCAGATCCGATGAATGGCCGTCATAAGGGTGGCGAGACTATGTTCAATCATAGAGTGGAGGTCAGCTCGGGGCTCCACTACACCGAATTCATCTGATGGTCAGTTCTGGCAGTTTGGACTCGTCAGACCAATAACGACTTCCGAGTCCAGAGCATAGGCCTTGCTGCCAGTTGTAATCCGGTCTCTGAGCATTCCATTGCCTTCTTGGTTCTGTTTATTGACATCGAATGGGAAGTAGAGAGGCAGGCTCTGAGACGTAGATATTACTTTACTCAAAGACTCTGATCCATTATCTAGACAGGCTCTGAAGATCAGTAGTTTTGCGTTAAAAGAGGTACGCCATTTATTTAGGCAGTGATGTGAGGAGATGGAGGGGCATACACCGTTGAATTGCTCGTCTGCGATTCAACGAAGATACAGAAGCAGAGAAAGAACAATAGGACAAGATTTTTGACAATGACGTGCACATGCCGAAATCGCCGGGACAGTATGAATAGAAGATGCCGAGGCTGAAGAAAATTGATGGAACTCGACCGTTGTTCCCCACATTGCCGGTGTCGCGCCGCGTAGCCCTGGGCTGGCAATAGTGGTCTGAACTCTTGGTAGTTGATTTCTCAAGTCCCAGCCTTTTGAGCGTTGAGGTTTGGTTGTGTGGACTCAATGACGAAGGCAAATACCTAATAGAAAGATGATCAATAAGTGTTACTTCATCAAGACAAAGAGGGAGGATAATAATAATAAGACAAAGGATAAAACGTACATTCACAACAATGGGCATATTGTTAATGTCCTAATCTTGTCTTATTGTACATTCAAGAACTCCTATTCTACGGATACCACTATTTTGATGCGCTGGGTAACCATACACGAACATGACCCAAAGCGTATAACGACTCAATG